GGGAAGCTGCTCAGGGCAGTAACAAGGTGTCCTAACGTGGGCAGCTGAGACTCACCTCCGGCCATCAAGCAAGCGTTTGATACCTGAGGTCTCTGATTCCACCCGAGCGCTAATTCCCCCTTTGTTAAATGGGTATTGTGCACAGTGGGTTGCAGCAAGCCTTGGTGAATATTGTAGGTACTGTTACTGCATGACATTGACAACTCAAAGGTCAATGCTAAGAGTGGTGTCACCAGAGGAAGCCTAGAAGCAGAGGGTCCTTCCCTCAGGACTTGCACCGCTTCCTGAAGGGCAAGGGCTGTCTAGGGTCACAGGAAGCACACTTATATTAAATTGAAGGAGCTGGCAGAGAATCCATTCAAGGTGGTGAGAGAGAGAGGAGAGAGGAAGGAAGGGAGAGAAAGAGGAGATGGAGAGAGAGAGAGAACCAGAAAGGAAGAGCCTTGATATTCTGGTCAAGCAGATTTGAGTCACTAGAAGAATAGGTGCTAGAGGGATGAGACCAGAAGGAATCTGTGTGATGGTCACACAGTGAGGGTGAGCTAAACCAGGGAACCCAATGCAGGTTTCTGCTCTCTCTACTCTATGATGTTGGCCAATTTCTGCCAAGATGGAGCAAATGCCAGAAGGTTCAAGGGCCCCTCTGAGGAGGTTCTCAATTCAATTAAGCCAATTAAGGTCGGAAAGATGAAAGAGCACAGAAATGGTACATTCCCTGTCCTTTTGATGCCTACAGGCCACTCTCGGCAGCCAGCCCAGGCCGGAAATTCTGTCAGGCCTACAGAACTGATAGGCCTGGTCATTTCTGTTCTTGGCCATTTCAGTGATGGTTGCTGTCCTTATTAAAACTGGAAGAGACCATCATCCATGCTTACAGACAAGCCAGGGATGAAGAGAACATATGGCTTCTGCTCTCTGCAGCAGTCAAGAGTCACCCACAGGAGGTCTCCCCTTAACTGGTGCCTTCCGTCTGAACTGTGGCCTGTTGAGTGAATGAAGATGAGGAAAATTTGAGTGCCCACTCCTATTGGCTTCATGCTGCCACCTTCAGAGCTTCAAGCTCCTTCTCTGGGGACCAGGCACCCACTTACTAAATCCTCCAACCCCATCGTCATCTGGGATAGACCACTCTGTGCACTTTGGCAACTCAGTGGTCAACAATGTGTCTCAAAGAATTAAGGATGCAGGTAAAGGCAATTCTGTTTATGGCTGTGCCCAGCCCTGGGAAGTAGGAATGGATAATGGGATCTTGGGCTCAGCAGCAATTACTTATGACTGGAAAACTAACTGGTAGATACATTCTAGAGAACGTTCCACAGTAACTGTAACTAAAGGAAGCCATTGGATGTCAGCAGGTGGTGATGAGAGAAAAGGACGTGTTGTTGAAGCTCGGAGATGGCCTCTGGTAGAGGAGTGATGGCCAGTGTAGGCTGGTGTGAGGCATGGGGAACACGCCAAAGGCAGAGGAAGGGCCGGAAGGTGCTTTGAAGGAATTTGGTCTTCTTGATTGGGGCTGGAGAATGAAAATGTGTGGCAGAAGCAGTCATGGACTACAGGAAGAGTTTCCTAGAGTGGCGGCGCCCAAGCCAGGCAATGAGGATTTTAGGGCAACATGGCCACTAGTTGCTAGCCTATAGGGAGATCCCTCTGCTGGCAAGCAGGGTGTCAGGGTTGCTTAGTGGGAGATGAGGGGACAGGAGCTAGACACAACTGGCAGTCAAGGTGTTGGGGGATACTGAGGTGGTAAGGGCAACTTGACCCCAGGACAGTCACACAGGAGCAGGGGTGCCATGAGCTCCAGAAGTCCCTCTGGCTACAGGGAGGTGACATGGCTTGACCTCTCTACCCAGGACCCTTACTATGAGACACCAAAGGTCCAGCCATCTTCAGGGATGACAGAATTCCAAAATCAGGAGTAGTTCTACGCTGCAGGTCAGGGACAGGGAGGAGGGGGTGGCAAAAATGCTTCAGTTACATTAGGGGAGCCCTGGCCTCCTCCAGGACTCCTAGATCTGGGCGACTGTAGTTGTGACCTACAGCTACATGCTCTGAAGAGCATGCAGACATCCCAGCGTTCACTTCACACCCCAGGCCTAAGAGCACCCTTATTTCCAGGTGGGCAAAATGGCTGAAAAGATTAATGGACTTTCAAAGAGTAAAATCCTTCATCTGGCTTCCCTTTCCCAAAGAGTCTCTGTGGAGTCCTTAGGCAACTCAGCTGGGAACTCAGCAGGTTCTCAGCTGGAGCCCTGAGGCTTCAAGCCTGGGTGAGTGAATACAGTACTGAGCCCTTGCCTGAGGCGAGTACTGGCCACCCCTCCAAAGGACTGAAAGAGCCTGAGAGCCAATGAGGACCCTTCTGTGATATCACTTGCCAGTACTGGGTACTTAGAGTCCTGTTGATCTGGCCTTTCCTCCAGCTTTGTCTGACTAGGGCCTAAGAAGCTGACTCATGGGGGGGGGTTGTGCCGACTAAAGACAGTGTCTACCCTGACAAACTAGACCCATTCATCTTCTCCAGCAGCCAGCAGACTGGGGGTGGTGGTGGAAGTAGCAGAGGGCAGAAGGCAAATCTGACAGGTACATCCAATTGCTTTTGCACTGGGACTCTGGGGAGCAGTAGAGCTCTGGTCAGAGACAGGAGGGGGGAGAAACACCCTCCTGTAGTCAGGACACCATCCTGAGCCAAGGCCACCTGGGGTAGGGGTTGGGGAAGGCAGATATCAGTGGGAAGCTAACAAGCCTACCTTGAGGCTGCAGTCTCAATTTCCTCTAACTCTGTCGTTTCCCTTAACGAAGCCTTGACTTCTTGCACTGACAATTGAGCGATACTTGTCACCTCCCTCCTAGGTGGTTGGTATGGCAAAGTCACAGAGCGCCAGTGGAAGGAGCACACTCTGCCCAGCTTCCTGTGTGCCCACTGCTTGCCCCTGTCATCCCGAGTCACTGCTTCGGGCTGCTGCTGCTCAACCAAGCAGAAGGGCCACGTCCCTCTCCCTCCCCAGACCTTGCTTAGCTGTTTCTCCTTTCAGTCTTTTTTTCTCTTTGTCCTTCCTAGAGGCCTTCCCTGAAACCCCAGCCGGAACTTTAGTTTAGTTTTGTCAACCTCTAGCACAAAAAGTCAGTGCCTGCCACAGATACCAAAGAAATATATATATATATATATATATATATATATATATATATATATCCAACTGAAACTAGTGGGAGAGGTGCACAGGATTGAGAGAAGATGGGGAAGTCATCTTGCATTTGCCATTTTCATCCCACATCTTCCAGAAGTGAAAGCTGATCCATGTAGAAAGTGATAGAACAGTTACTATTTGGATGCCCAAATTGTGAAATGGTGACCAATTAGGACAAACATTTTCTAAGTGCCCCTCAGACCTTGCGAATAGGCACATATACTTTTTCTTGAGAACCGAAGTCTCCGTATTTGGAGCACGTATGGGAATGCTTCATTGCCCACCCACCCCCATGCCTGTGCTCTTCTTCTAGATGTGACATTCTCAGTTCATGGCACCTGACAGGGCTCAAAGGTTGTAACCCACTGGACCCTCCTGACAGTGAGGGCCATGGACTTAACCACCTCTATTTTAGCTGCATGAGAGCCTTTTTGCCTTTCTTCTAGGCTCTGGGTTATTTTTTTGCCCTGGGTGCTTCTCTAGATCAGAAACCTAGATGAATATCTGAGCTCTGATTTTTGAGAGGATTGTTCTGAGCCAGGATTTTTTTGCCCAAGGTGAGAGGTCTAGTCCAGCCAAGCATGTTGCCAGGATGGTTGTTTACTGATGCAAAGGCCAAAGCCCTGTGCTCCGAGAATAATTCAGTTCTAGGGGAACCAATATGGCAAGTTTGGCACATGGCCCTGCAGGAGGAGGGCAGGTCCAATAGGGCCTAGCCAGACCCCAGGAAGGCTGCTACAGGGGCAGCCGTCTTGGTAAGGTAAGGAGCACTGGTGCAGAGGATAGGGAGATAAGAGCCTCAGGAAGCCCTGCAGAAGGGGAAAGTGCTATGACCTGCTGGGGGTCCGGATGGCTTTGTTTGTTTTGTTTTTTGGGTTTTTTTTTTTCATTTTGAGACAGGGTTTCTCTGTGTAACAGCTCTGGCTGTCCTGAAACTTGCTGTGTAGACCAGGCTGGCCTCGAACACATAGAGATCCACCTGCCTCTGCCTCCCAAGTGGCTAGGAGTAAAGGCGTGCGCCACCACACCCAGCCGGATGTTTTCCGAAAGGCAAACCTTAGCTCCTTCATTGGGGTGTGGGAGCAATGCATAGGGAGCAGAGTGTCAGCAGAGTCACTAGTGGCCTGGGGTTGCTCTGAACTTTCTCCTGTGTGCCCTGTCCTGCTCACCTCCACTTTGATTCCCCTTATCCTTACTCTCTTTTATCTATCAATTTCTCTTTACCTCCTTCCCTCCCTCACCCCTTTTTCTGCTCTGCACTGGGCCTCCTCTCCTCCTATCCCCAGGAACCCCGAGGGTTGCGGAAACACCCTGCCCACTCAACCTTGACAAGGAGTGCAGCTGCTCCTTTCCATGTCTCAGTCTATCCCCTGGAGCCCTAGACAGCCCAAGCCTGAGCCACTGAGGACTTCTGGGGACTTAGATCATGGCAGTGGCACTGGGCAAGTGGCACTAGGCAAGAAGTAGGCGGGAGGGTCAAGCAAGAAGTGGTGATGGGCCCTGATCTCTTGTGCATATGAAGCAAGAGTAGCTACCTATGACCCCAAATTGCCTTACTTCAAGTAGGTTTCCAAATGGTTTAGAGAGGCAGTGAGAGCTGACTGGTGCTGGTGGCAGAAGGGCCCCACTACTCCCTTCTTTCCCACCTAACAAACCCTCTAGCTCTGGATGCTCACGATAGGCAGGACAATGGGGGCTGGTCTAGAGGGTCAATCTAGCATTTGTGAGTCACAGAGTACACTGAATGAAGATGGGGAGAAACGTCCATTTTGTCTGAACCAGTCCCTTGACCTCTTCTTGCCTTGTTCTCCTCAGGTGTTCACATTTAGCCTCTTTCCCACCACCACCTTGCCTCACTTCAGCACTGGGATCTTAGGTGGCCAACTGTCCCTAACTGCGACTGAGTCAAAGCTGCACCTGTGAGAAGGCCTGCCAGACAGGATGGGGGACATGGCAAACAGTTCCATCGAGTTCCACCCCAAACCCCAGCAGCAGCGGGAAATGCCCCATGTGGGTGGCTTTGGGTGCACACTAGCAGAACTACGCAACCTCATGGAACTCCGAGGTGTCGAGGCACTGCAGAAGATTCAGGAAGCCTACGGAGATGTCAGTGGGCTGTGCAGGAGGCTGAAGACCTCGCCTACTGAGGGTAAGTTCATCGGGTTTGGGGAGGGAAAGGGCTATCCTAGGAACTCGGGGTCTGCCGTACGCCTGGAAGACAGTTGGAGCGCTGTGCTGCTCTGACTACCTTAAATGGCTCAAGTTAACCTTGGAGGAAAGCCAGCCACTGACTGTTGCCTTCTGCTCAGTCACTTTGTCTTGACTGGAAGGTGCCTTGTGCAGGGGTACTAAATTCTGAGGGTGTGAGTTGAGCCTCCTCCCACCCCACAAGAAAAAAGAGAAGGAAGGGCAGATGAGAACCGCGAAAGGTGGAGGGTTCAAATGGAAACCCTGGATTCTTTTAAAGAAACAGCAGTGTCGACTGTCTCCTACCGAAGAAGGAGGAAGCCATGGCCTCTGTTAGGGGGAGAGCAACCGAGAAGACACATGAAACTGACCTTTGGTCATAAGCACATATGAGCATAGATGAACACACACATACATAGTGACAGCAGCCGCAGGCTGTCCCAGTGAGGTGCAAGTCTGAGGCACTGCCAGGACCACACCGGTGGGCTTCCAGAGAAGAAACATGGTGAGAGTCCTCTAGAGTATCTAGAGCGGGTACTCTGTGACTGTCCTCTTAGGTTTTCAACTCCCTGGTCTGCTGTGAGACTAGGGTCACCAAAGAGCCAAATCTAGCCCCAGATTTCAAGAGTTGGAACCCTTTTTGGTTCATCTGACACTGGCCTGGCAGGATTGTGGGAGCTTTCCCAACCTGATGCCAGGCCTGCTTCCCAGACACTGCTAATTGATTTTATCAGTCACCCATCTCAGTAGTGGCATTTTGGCCTACCCAGTCCTGCAAGTCCTAGCCACCACCTGGGTTCTTCCGGCTCCCTGGCTCCTCTGTCCCTCCCATTACCAGGCCTTGCCCATTCTTGTTTCTAAATCAGTCCTTTGGTTGCAACACTCATGCTCATCACCTCAAGCCTCCTTGTTCTGCCCTTGCCCCCATTCGGAGCCTCTAAGATACACACCAGATGCTCTTACTCTAGCCTTGCCCTAGGTGGATTGAAGAAAGCATCATGTATCCATAGGAAGTGGTGCATGGGCCCAAGGAAGTATTAGAAATGGAAGAAGGCATGCCCAAGGGCCAGGTTAAGAACTCCAGGCAAGGTGGCCTCCCGGGGCCATCTGGATCTTCCTTAACTGTAGAGTTGCAGAGCTGCTCCATCCATGAATAATCTATTCAGCCTGCCCACCACACACACATACTCCAGCCTGAAGCACTGTTCTGCCAGGACAGATGGCTGGGCTTCATGCCAAAGGCTCTCTTTCCGTCCTCCTCCTTGCCCACCCACCCCCCTGAGGACTGGGGGCCTCTAAGAAGGCTGGGGTAGAGGGTCATTTAGCTACAAGGGCTCTGGCCTCTCCCAGATCAAAGGAAGCAGATGGGCTTTGGCTGGCAGCTCTTCCCTCTGCCTGTCAGGCCTTGTTAAATATTTAAAATGTCAAGGCCCCTGGGAACCTGCCCTATTCTGCCACAGAGCTCCAAGGCTTGTCTGATGCCTATAAATGTGGTGGGCATGTAGAGGAGCAGGTGCCCAGGTGGGTGGCTCAGTCCCTGACAGGCCTCTGAGACCCTATGTCCCCATGGCAGCCCAGGGACCAGCCCTTCCCCCTAGCTCCTAGGGCCCAGCTGTCTGGGGCCAGGAGCAGGTGATTCTCACTCCCCCATTTCCTCAGCGCAGCAAGCAGCAAGCCTGGAGCAGGCAGGCTCCTCAGCAGGCCTTCTTAATGGAAGGGGCAGACTTAACTGTACTTCCGGCCCCATGCCAATCCTCTGGGGGCCCAGAAAGGGTTTGACAGAGGAAAAGCGGGCCAGGTAGGTATGTGGCATGTTGGTGGAGGGGACTTTGGCAGTTATTACCTCTGCAGAGATTCAGAAGGATTCTAGAACCCATCCTGAAAAAGAGTCTGCCTGCTGGTCAGGAACCTCCTGGTAGGCTAGTTAGGGGGCTCTGCACCCTGCCCCTGTCTTATCTGCTCTCCACCGACAGTCAAAAGAAGAAGGGGGCAGATGAGCTGAGAGCTGACACAGTGTGGTCCTAATCCAATTCTGATGGCATCTGGCCTCTGCTCTGGGCAAACAGCCCATCTGTGTCCATGCCAACCGCCCAGCCTCTTTCCCCATGTCTTGGGCCTGCTAGGTGGGCACATGTTTGAAACCAGAAGGACCAGAGCTGCCTTCTCTACCACACCAATAAGCAATGGTACCATGGCAGTTGTGACAGCTGTTGGGACCCCCAACCCTACAGAAAGGCCAAGGCTCAATCTGAAGGCAAGTGCTAGTCTTGGGCAGAGGAGGGGAGGGGAATTGCTGCAATAGCAAGGGCAATCCAAGGACAAGGCAGAGGAGGGGAAGGAGCGAATTTCTGTGGGAAAGGGACTAAGGGCCTCATTGGCTTTGGGAACAGTCTGGACATGTGAAGCAGGACAATCAGGAAGCAGAGTCACATGGTGCCATGGGTCTCAGGCTTTCTAGAAGCTAAAATGGATCACTTCCCCTCTCTGGGGGCTCCAGGCCAAGGGCAGTGTAGACCCCAAGTGTCTAGAGCTTAGAGTTCTGGTGCATCCCTTGTAATGTTGAGTCTTTCATAGCTCCTGCAGTTGAAGGCAAAAAGGCTCAATCTGGGGAAAAGACTGAGGTCTCCCAGATACCCTACTGGGAAAGCTGGGGTGGGGGTAGGGAGAAAGCTGAGGAGGCCCAGCCTTTCTTCCTAACACCTTACTAGGAAAGCTGTGGGACTTCAGAAAGAGGTCTTTGGCCCTAGTAGAAATCTGAGATGCCAGCCCAGCCCAGGCTCAATGAGGGCAGGGAGAGAAAGGCAGGGACAGCTGCAGCCCTTCTGGGTGGGAAGGACACTGTGGCTGGATGCTATGGACGTGCCAAGGCTGTGCTGCTTGCAACTTTTGCTCTTGTCAGTCCTTCATTTAAGCTCCTCCCTGCTCCTCTGAGAAGGCCCATTGTCAGCACTTCCTTATTGATGAGCGATCTGGGGCTGAGTCTTATTGCTTTCCTAAACTCCGCCTGCTGTGCATGCTCCATGGACCAGATGGCTCTTTTGATCACCACTCAGCTCCTTCAGCAGGTGGTAGAAGCTATGTCAATGACTCTGGTGGGAACTTCAACCTACCACCACTAGGTGTCAGTGTAGAGCTGGTCCCTTTGGGGTGTAGCACTGGAGGCCTGGGTGAACCTAAGGAGGGGCTGGATCAGCCTGCAGAGAAGATTGCCAGCTAAGGGTAAGGCTGTGACAATTTCTCACTTGTCTGAGATCTACATGGAGGTTACCTCCACGGTCCTGGAGCCATGAGTTAAGGACTTCTCTGCCCTTGGACCCTACAGTGATCGAAGTGTCTCATGTTAGGCCTGAGAGGAGCTTCCCTTTCCTCCCCTTTCCTCTCCTTTCCTCTCCTGTTCTCTGCATGAGTCAGTGACAGTCCCCTTAGTCTCGGCCATCCCCATCGCCAATTCCAAGAAGGTGTTGGGTATTTGGGAGCCACGTGCCTGGGCATTTCCCGGGCACTGTGGGCACCAGACCTTGGGTCATCCTCTCCTCAACTCTGTGTCATGGTATCTTGGCCCTGTGGAACTCTGTTGTCCTTTCCTGGTGCTGGTCCTTTCAAACTCCAGCCGCCTCTGGAGCTGGTAAATGGAGTCCTTCCTCCCCCACTGCAGAACAGGCTCCCTGCACGACCTAGAGGATCAGTTCCCCATAGCAACAGCTAGTTATGAGAAGCCATAAACCTCTGCCTTCGTTTCTTCCTGCAAGCCCCATACTTCCACCTTGAAGGACTTCCAAGCCTCCCTTTCATAAGACCTTATGTAGATCTCTGGAACTAAGAACTTGCTCTCACACTCATTCTCTCTGAGCTTTCCCTGGGAAACTTCTAGAAAGTAGGCCTCCATCCATGTCCAGAAGACATTGTTCTATCTTCCTCAACAGCTATGCTCCTGGATACATCCATGTCCCTGGTTCCCCTGTGCCTTGCCCCCTTTGCAGATCAGGCTGGGTAGCCCTGCATGTCTTTGGAAAAGGTAGGCCATAGGGTAGGGTGGCCAAGGTCCAAAGGCTGCCTCACTTTCAAGGTGCCAGAGTCTCAAACACAGTCCCATCTTTCAAGCATGTGTGGGGCCTAGTGACCAGCACTCTCAAGAAGACATGGAGTTTAAGTGTTAGGAGACAGATAACTTTGTCCGATCCCTCTAGAGAGGGCCCTGGCCAATTCTTTGGCACTTGGGTGAAACTGGGCTAATATTACCTGGATCCCCTTCATTGGTAACCTCCCCACAAATCCACTGAAGCCACTTAGATATTGATTCACCTCTCTACTCACCCTCAACCCAAGGAGCCCCTGGGTGCTCTGTTCTGCTCCTATCTCAGCTACCCTTGGCCACATAGCATCCTCCTGGGTCCTTGCTGTCCTTTCCTTTGTTGGGTGTTAGCGCTTCCCTGCAAGCATCCCTCAAAGATAACTTTGACACAGAAATGACAGCAGACATGAATGGTGCAGAGTGTAGGCTAGTGTTTCAGCAATTGAGACATCTACAGGCCTAAGACCTCCTTCCCTAGACTTGCTGTCTTATAAGTGCATCAGGATATACATAGCCCCTTTTCCTGGGTTACCATCTCTTCCTCAGGCTGGGTACTCACTATGAGGGCTGTGCTTGGTCCCCTATGCTTAGTCCTGT